AGAATAGACAATCTTTCCTCCACACACTTGAAATCATCATGAATTATTTGACCAGTTTATAATAAAAGTAATTATTTTTTAGATCAGAAAGTTCATTAAATTAACATTAACATATGTCATCTCACTGAAAGATTTGATTGAATATTGCCTCCACATTTTCAACTATTTTCAACTGTGAACTAAAAAAAACACAACTTTTTTACAATATTTTAGATATATTTATAAATGTTTATATATTGCAGTACATTGTGTATTTGATTCTAACTTCTCAATGTTTATATATATATATATATATATATATATATATATATATATATATATATATGTGTGTCTGTCTGAAATGTTATTGTTTTGAAAAATTGAGCAACTGGTCAGTATTTGCGGAGATACAGCTGTCAGACATCTTGCTGCGAAGAGGGCAAAAAAGGACACCGTGACTTTGATAAATGAGCAGAACATGACCTCGATATTTGACCCTGAACCCTAATTATACTCCTAGAAACCTCACCCCTGAAGTGTAGAGGAGTTTTTCTTTTCTGCCATCTCAGCCTGAATTCCTCCCACAGCCACCTGCTGATCTCGGCTTAACATGAGCAGACACAAGCTAGCAGTCTGTTAAAATTAGAAAGCAGTCGCTTTGTTCCGTGCCATGAGCCGGGGTCCTGTTTCCAGGCAGAGAGACGAGAAGACTTAAGGGGAAGTTTTTGATTTCACATACAGCAGAAGTGTCTCTAATGAGGGGTTATTTAATATCGTCTTAATGAAGGAAACATACGATGGAGACATGATACTGAGCAACAGGGAGAAACACAGCAGATTAACCCTTTAATATACATTTAACACAGAAGAGAAAATATTGAAATGTTCTAATAAAAAAACATTTATTTTAGTTTTTAAAAGATTGCAATAAAGAAAGAACCAATCAGACAAAATGAGAATAAACACTCACAAATCAGTAGGCAACAATACAAAAAGAAATACTAAAAGAACATTTCAAGGAAAAAAAGAAAGATACATGAAGATACAAGTAATAATAAGACTTTATTAAATACAAATAATTACATTTCCCTTTTAATCCCTTAAAATAATAAATCTTCCTCGCACTTTATAACAAAATTAAATGACTAAAATACTTACAATTAACGAGTAATAAGAAGTTACTATCAAGTTGGTTAAATAACATATCATCTTTTATCAGCTATTTTTTTACGATTGCCTCTTACGACATACTAACGGACATTTTCAAGAATTCAACACACACCATTTATTACCTGAATTTAGTGCATAACTTTATTTTTATGTATGATTTTTTCTTCTTCGCTGGTGTTTGTGCAGCCTACTCTCAGTCGACATGGAGCAGACATTCATCGCCGTGAAGCCCGATGGTGTGCAGAGGGGTCTCTGCGGAGAGATCATCAAGCGCTTCGAGACCAGAGGCTACAAGCTGGTGGCTGCCAAGTTCGTGCAGGTAAACTGGACATCTGTTTTAATGGAGGAAATCAAGAAAAAAGTTGGAAAAATATCCAACATTTTGACAGGGATGTATGAAAAATAAATCACTGATACCAAAACAAAATGAAAGTTAGTTTACTATCAATAAATAGATTAAAAAGCAACATTATCAGCTATAGTAATACAACAACGAGGAAATTAAACAAAATAACCAAAAACAATACAATGTTTTGTTTTTGGTTATATTTTTTTAAACAACAACAAGAAAGATTAACATTTTATAACTTAAATACAATAAAATATCAGTGATTAATAATAAAAACATTAAATTGAATACCATTTTAAAACTTAAATACAATGAAGCAAGTAAATAAATGAAAGAAAATACTTAATGAAAAGTGGTTAAACATTTTGGTATAGGGTAACATTTACTATGTTATATTTTCCACATTTGTTGTGAGGTTGTAGTGTTATTTTATCAATAAAAGTGTTTGTGGTTGTTTTTTAGGACGGACAGATGTTTCATTTAGGGACATGAGGAATCAAAGAATCGCATATGAAATATAAAATACTGATTCTCTGGGAAAAGTTGCCAACCAAAATTGTTGAGCGGGTTTGACCTTAAAGTACAAATGGGTATCAAACTTCACTCTACATGGACTTAAAAAGGTCTTAAATTAAACGTGTTAAATCACTGAAGTAGGGGAAGTTGTGCCAGAAATTCCTGTTCTGCTTCATATTGTAGTTTACATTCTGATGAAGTTAATTTTAAACCACACACACCACATTCTGATAAGTGACAAAGAGATAGTGTCCTTGCTCTGAATGTCCAAGGAGCGGTCCTCACTAAGATAGAAGAACAGGAACACACACACATACAGTATAAGAGTTGACTGACAGCTGTTGAGTTGATGAATGTTGCAGCTACCATCACACACAAGGACTCACACATATCACTATCACACACTTGCTGTAGTTATTCACAGCTGCCGTGTGTATGTTTGTGTGTCCTCCACAGTCTATGTGTAGTATTGTAATCTACATTCATGAAGACGAACTCAAACTGATGTACAGAGTTTATATAAATTGGGTTTTTAACAAATAAGTTTAACCTTTTTTTTAAATAGAAATGAAAGAGTTAAAGTATAAAATAATTAACAACAGATATTAATACCTTTAATAAAATATACATGATGCAGAGATAACATTGATTTTCAGGCAGATTGTTGTATTAAATCATGACTTTTGATCAGATAAATAAAACATGATAACAAACAACTAAATAAATAAAAATAAATGTTTTGTAGGCGGTTAACCTCATTGAACAATGGAATGTTTTATCGAGTTATAAGGACAATATTTAACATAATTTATCAGAAAATTCTACCTCATAATGGTATTCAGGCAAATGCACTTTATTACTGTGCAGCTTTGAGTATTTGCATTACTATTTCAATATGTTTTTGTTTTGTTTTTAGTCCTCTGAGGAGCACATGAAGAACCACTACGCTGACCTGAAGGACATGCCTTTCTATGCCGGTCTCTGCAAGTACATGTCCTCTGGACCCGTCTTCGCCATGGTAACTCACACACACACACACACACACACACACACACACACACACACACACACACACACACACACACACACACACACACACACACACACACACACACACACACACACACACACACACATAGTCATCCCGCACATCCCCGGCACTCAGGCAGATATGTGTCTCTGTAGTGTTTATCTCTCCCTCCTCACACCTTCTTTGTTTTTAATTGTCTCCTTTTATGGAGCAGACTGTGAGCAGGTGTGATCAGAGTCAACTTGAACAGTATTAAATACATTTTAAAACTCAATGAAATGCCTTGATCAAGAATCAGTAGTTTTTTTAACAAATTGTTTAATCTATATTTCACATAATATATTTATGTAATTTTGAATACTTTTTTTAAAACTCTGATATATAATTCAGATTTTAATCAAATGAAAAAAATGATGCTTATTTAATACATTTGATTGTATCATAAGCTATTTTCCTTGTGTTTTCTTATTCTATCTCGGCTTGTCATTTGATATTGCGTTTATTTTGTACACAGGTGTTAACTTTTTAGAAATTGCCATATTGTTCAAATAGGTTGTATAAATGAACTTGTAAAACATTCACCTTTAATCTACATATTACTTTGCTTCTCATTTGAAATGCGGACCCCCCTGACATGTTGTTGTGCTGCAGGTGTGGGAAGGTCAGAGCATTGTGAAGCTGGCCAGGATGATGCTGGGTGAGACCAACCCCGCCGACTCCAAGCCCGGAAGCATCCGTGGAGACCTGGGCAGCAACATGCGGCAGGGGAGTGAACACACACACACACACACACCACACACACACACACACATCCACACCCATCACCACACACACACACACCCACACACACACACACACACTACACAACACACACACACACACACACACACACACACACACACACACACACAAACACACACACACACACACACACACCCACACCACACACACACACACACCACACACACACACACCACACACACAACACACAGCACACACACACACACACACACACACACCCACACACACACACACCACACACACACACACACACACACAACACACACACACACACACACACACACCACACACACACACACACACACACACACACACTTACAGAAAACACAATAGTAATGCCATACACAAAAAACAATACAACATAAAATGTTTTCTACCACGTTGTGTTGTGACTTTTTGTCAGGACACACTTTACTTATGTTTTAAAGACATCTTTAGTCCTAGAACAATACTTTAATAAGTCACAGTGTAGCAAAAGATCTGTCTTTACGACGTTCTATGATGAACTTTTTTGAATGAAAAGAAAATATGATGATCTGTCAATGACATATCATTTTTTTGTTTATTCATTTAAATTAATAACACACTAAATGATTATCACATACATAACTATTGCTTTATGTCTTCCATACTATAGTTATTATATTTCCTTTTTTATGTATTTAAAGTAAATACTTTGTCACACACTATATTATATATATATCTTTTTTTTAACTTTTTGAATCATGCTACACACATTCTTTTTTTTGTATTGGTTATTTATAAAATACTATACCATGACATAGTATGACTTTTTAGTGCTTTTTAAATACATGCTATAATATAACTTATAACATACAATCATCACTCTGTCTATGATCCCACTGACCTTCCTGCTCTGTTTCTCAGGAACATCATCCACGGCAGCGACACCCTGGAGAACGCCAAGCATGAGATCGGTCTGTGGTTCAAGCCCGAGGAGATGGTGACCTACACCTCCTGCGCCAAGGCCTTCCTGTATGAGTAAAGTTTCCAATCATCCACCAGTAAACTCCACCCCACTGGACCCCACCCCCTTCACGTCCCTCCTCCCTGCAGACGATCCCCTGACTTGGTCTTCAGTCATCAATCCAAAACATGTCCCACTTATCAATAAAGTCTCATGTTAACAACTATCACTGATTCCGTATCAGAAATCATTTGGGTCTTACCCCCTGAGTAGCAGCTGTGTGAGGCCGTACCTAGACACACCTTCTACTATGAATGTTCTAAACAGTTGGAGTTTTATGAAAGTTTTTATCTGAGTCATTGAATAGTATGTTGTAGTTAAAGGAGCCATGTAAAAGTCATACTATAGTATGTCAAAATGATTTTGAAAAAGTCATTGTATAGAATATCAAAAAAACGTCACAGATTAGTATGTTGAAAAATCAGACCTTTATGGTAAAAGAAAACAATTCATGATAAAGTATCTAAAATAACACCATATAGTATGCTGAAAAAAATCCTCATAGTATGGTAGTGTTTCTCAAAGTGGGGGGCACGCACCCCCTGGGGGGCACAGAGGCATGACAGGGGGGGCACAAGTCTGCAACTTTTCTGTCAGGGGGAGTGGACCTCACATAGGGGGGTCCAGGGGCATGCTCCGCCGGGAAGATTTGTTTTTTAAATATTGAAGTTAAAAGCATCAATCTGGTGCACTTTGAGAGCAAAATGAAGAGATCTATGGATACCTCTGTCAACACCCAGATGAAACAGACCTGGAAACAGATTTTCTTATTCTTGATGGATATTTTACAAATCACCCTTTTAAACTTTATTCTTTTTTTACTGCCATACAGTATAGTAGCCTATTTCATACCTGTTTTTCATTTATTGTCTTATTTTTTTATAACTATAATGATCATATAAACGTGTGCCTCGGAAATAAATGTTTACATTAATCGTGACCAAAACGTTTGAGTGTTTAGATAGTTAACTTTAGTCTAATGTATCTCAGTGGGTCTCAGAGTCCTTTAGTTCACTGAGCGTCTCAGTCTGACAGGAGAGGACTCTCCTCCACCTTGTTGTTGAAAAAACTCCTTATATCCGTTAGCGTAGCTCGCTAGCACCAGAAGCTAACAACAACGATCTCCGGTACCGGTGCGCTCTCTCTCTCTTGCTTGCACACTAAATGGCTCGTTCCACACACACACAGAGCCGAGCTTGAATGAAACCAGACTTACTTGTACTGTACTTATATTATTTTCGAATCAATAATTTTCCAAATTATGATTTATTTATTTTTTTCTCCTGGTCTCTCGACCCTCACTTTGAGAAACACTGGTATAGTATGTCGAAATATATCAGAAAAAACTTCATAGAAAAAACGAATAAAAACGAATATTATAGTATGTGTAAACTATTCCCAAAAATGTATGTCGAAATATATTAAATAAAACCTCATACAATAGTATGTCAGAAATAGAACGTCATAGTATATGTCGAACATTTTGAAAAATACGTCAAAATATAATATAAATATATATATATATATAATATAAAAATTCATATAATAGTATGTTGAAAGAAACCCTCTCATACATGGGTTAATACTATGTATAAGAGGGTCGACATCTTATACTATGTCGAAATGTCTGAGAAAAAAAAGTCATACAGTATGTATAGTATATAGTATGTCCCAAATAAAACATTGTAGATTGTATGATATGTCCCAAAATATCAGTAAAAAACGTCATAATATACTAAGTAAAAAAAAAACGTTCATAGTATAGTTTGTCGAAATATATCAGAAAAAAGTTCATAGTATACAAAGTAAAAAAAAAAAAAGTTCATAGTAGCCTATAGGATGTTGAAAAAAACCCTCTCATTACACTATGTTGAAATGTATCAGAAAAAACCCGTCATGGAGGTGCCAGTTCCCCTCCTGGGCACTGCAGAGGGGTCCTTGAGCAAGGCACCGACCTGCTCGCCGGAGAGACTGGCAGCCTCTTCGCTCTGGCCCGCTCCAGATGCATAGCATGTTTATTCTACCTGTATTCTGTATAGTGTGTATAACTCTGTGTGTATTACAGTCAGTACTCAAGTTGTAAAAATAAATCAGGGGGGATGGTGTATTTTATCATATGGGGACATAATTTGTGCTGATAACCCGCAGAGGATGGGAGACCAACCAGCATAAAGATAATTATTATACTCCTAAAACAACATGCATGTTATGGATGTTCAGATACTCCTTTCATTGCTCTTGACCAAGGCACCTCAGAATTAGAGTCGGTCCCCGGGCTGCCATGGCACCACTAACATTTAGGGTCAAATGTAGAAGACAATTAGTGCAAAATCTTTTTTTCACTTTAATTTAAAGGGGGGGAGGGGATACAACAATGTGGTTATAATGGAAGTATATGGTACAAATCTTGTAGGTTAACAGTCCCTCCTTTATTATTCAGATGGATCAGCTGATTATACTAATAATAAAGTCAAAATAGTTTTTAGAATATTGAATTATAGTGTATTTTTTCAAAAAAGCAGTTACTGGTATACGATCAAAACTGGTATCTAAAGGGTTACATTTGTATCGTAATTAATTAAATCATTATGTAAATTCTTCATGAAAAATATGAGGAAAAAAATTAGAAAAATATTGATCCGTCATCATTTTATTGCCGTTCAAATACAAATATTTTATGTTAACATTCCCAATGTTACTTTTTTTAACAGGGCATTAAGTGCAAATTGAAATTGTTTACAAAATATGAAAATATATTAAAAGAATATACAGATAATACAAAATAGGACCAATGTTGTCAATGGCTGCCTACTCCACTCTCCCCCATCTCATAGAAGTTTCCAAAGATTTTCATAATCATGTTTTTTGGTCTCAATTTTTCTGGCTCTTGCTTTCGGATTGTTAGCTAAGCAATGGCTTTGAAGCCAAGTCTTGACATATACCTCTGGTCTGAACTTGTTCAGTGGAGGGCCAACACACTTGATGAAAAGCAAGGCTGACATGCTTTTGATCTCTAGGGAGCTTCTAGTTGTGGTTAAAATGTTCATCTGACTAAACCCACGTTCACACTCAGCTGTGGAGATGACCAGAGTGGTCACTGCTTGAAGGAGGGGTTTCAGCTCTTCTGGTGCTGGTGGTATCATTTCATCAACAGTTTTGAGTCTGACCAGCTAGCTAACACGAGAGAAACACGTAGCTAAACTCCAAACTAAGTTGTTATTGCTGCTTATCAGTGGCGGCGCTAGGGGGTGGCTACTTGGGCTCAAGCCCCGGATGTTTTCTGAAAAGCCCTGAATGGTCACAAAAATAAATGTTTTAACGTCTCGGGAGTAATGTGCAGTACCGGAGTCCACCAGAGAGGCATCCGCTGCGGGACATTAGCCTGCGTACTGCGTAGCCTGCCCTGAAGTAGAAGTGATCCTTCCTAGTGCCTGACGAGTTTTAAGCTAATAGCCTATACAGTTATGGATATTAGAAAGTTATTGTCATTGAAGCAGGCGCCACAAGCTGCAGCAGCAGCTGACAACAATGTCATCACCAGCAGTGAAGAAATGGATGATGTTTCAGGTTTGTGAATCTAATGGTGATATCTGCACTCTGGCTGACTGAGTAAGAAGTGAAAAAGAGTGATGTGACGTTAATGTTATAGCTAGTAAACATGGAGTAACCACACTAAGTATACCCTTATATGTTAGTATGTATACAGAACATGACTAACAATTATCCTAAAATGTAATGTTAACCCTTCATACCTCAGTCTACTTTTAAGACACTAAAATAACGTATTCCATTTTTTATTTTGTTTTCGCGCGTGGAATTATACCGGCTCTCGTTTCAGTACACATAACAACGGAACTGACAGGCAACCCTCTGAATCAGACTCCGATTGGCTGTGACTGCATCCACTCAGAGTGTCCGATTCAGAAACGTGACTCTTACACATTTTTTACGTCACAAACAAAGATGGTGGATGAGAATAGATCTATAAAACGATAAGCAATGCGCCAGAATCAAGGTGAGACTATCCGCATCCTTTAAAACTCTACTTACATTCATTTCACCGTAATAAGTAAACAACTATTTGAGTGAGTTAAGGCATTAGTTTGCTTCATTAAAGGGTGTTAATGAGTGTTCTCCAGTGCCTTTTGTCCGCTTTAAGGTGTTATTAAGGTAGGGTTAATGTTGCTCTCAAAGTGCACCAGATTGATGCTTTCAACTTCAATATTTAAAAGAAAATCTTCCCGGGGGAGCATGCCCCCGGACCCCCCAAGAGGAGGCAACAACCCCCCTAAAGGATGTTTGGTCCACCCCCAGGCAGGGGTAGCACTGTACCCCTGCACCCCCCCCCCCACCCCCCCCCAACAACTCCTGGGCTAAGCCCCGGATCTCCTACAATCCTAAATCCGCCACTGCTGCTTATGTCCATAGATTCCACCTTTGGTGACTAAAGTAGTGAGTAATGACTAAGATGACTGATTCTTGACTTACCTGACATTTTATTTTTAGTATTTTTAAATATGAAGTCCCTCAGATCGCGTTGTCCTCCTGGTCGCTTGGCCATTGTGATGACCGTTACCTGCGCTTCTGGCATCGATCAAACAGACGCATCACGGCACTCTGGCGCCCTCTAGGGCACTCGCATAGTATAGCGTCAGTGACTTGGTAAAAATGTCATTGCGTGTGTGCGTGCTCCCTCGCCCACAGTATTTTACTCAAAATGCGCAAAATTAATGTTGAAATAGCAGTAATACCAGTGCCACGTTCATTGATAAAACAACATAAGGGATGGAAAGTATTAGAAGGGGGATGATTTTGACCGTTTTTATTTCAGGGGGGATGCCATCCCCCCTCAACTCGAGTACTGATTACAGTGCATCTGCATGGGTGCACCTTCCGGTATACTGTGAAAACTGAATTTCCCCCTGGGGGGATAAATAAAGGTACATGGAAGAGTTGGTGTTATGGCTTCCGGATTTTGCCCCCCCTCCGTCACTTTGGCCAGGATGGTCCTAAGAGGTTTCTCAATTCTTACATTTCCCTTCCTCGACTCCTATCCTCGATACTTAGTCCCGCCCACAGGAGATGCGAGCGGAGGACTGAGGAGGGGAACCGAGGAGAGAGGAGTGGAAGCAGCAGGCGGTTAGAGAAATGAGAACTCCTCTCCTCT